CCCCTTAAAGGGACCCATATTCTACTTAACAGGGACTATAGGGTTTGGGGTTCAGGGCTCAAAGGTTCGAGTTTGAGCCAAGGTTGAAGGCTTGGCGCTTGGGGTTTGGTGTGGGGCTTAGGGCTTTCAAATTTCAAAGCTCAGCGTTTCAGGTTTGTGGTTTAGGGTTTGGGGTTTAGGGTCTGGGTTGTAGGTTCTGGAGGGCGCGTGGAAGCTCAGGGAGGGTTTAGGGTTTGGGTTGCGCAGTTTGAGTTCTTGAGTGTTGGGCTTAGCTGTAAGGGTCTAGGGTTCCAAGCTTTTTTTTGTTTTTTTCTCGACTTGCAGGTTTGGGGTTTGGGTTATGCAGTTCGCACTTTAGGGTTTGGATTTGAGGGTATGGTGTTATCCTTTATGACTTCTTGTGGTCAGCATACGTTCCCCCCCCCCTGCCCAACACGTAGACGACTCATACCATCCTATACAGACCTCATAAATCCCAGAAGTAGTTCTCATAAATCCAAGCAATACGGTCGAATGACCCTTTAAACTCCACATCGTATAGCCCTACACCCAGAACCCTATAAGGGCCAAAGTGATCCCTCTAGAGCGTTATAGAATCATAGGCTGTGGATTGGGTTTTCTTACTGGGGTTAGTGGGAATATACTATATAAGGATTATATAGGGATTATATTCCCGTATTCCAGAATAACCACCAGTAAGTTTTGTATTCTGTACGCCTTTGAGCCGGGTTTTGGGGCATATACACATGTGGGTCATGTGGGGTCTTCCTTGAAAGGCTAGTGATAAAGCAGAACTTGTTAGGATTTTTGGGGGTTCTATAATGCAGGGCCATGATACTTGTAATTCTTAGGCTTCTACATTCTACATTATCGCAGTGATTGCGCGAGCAGCCGATGAAATTGGAAGCCCAAAGCAAAGACTGTCGTGTGGGGGGTGTTCTACATGGCCTTGTAAAGGAGGGGCCATTAGGAATTGATTTCCCTACAAGGGGCATCCTAAGCCAGAAGGGAACCTATCTGTTGGCCATTTCGGGGACAGGATGTTGAACAATTGCCATGTCAAAAATCCTCTCCACCCCGCCGTTTTCCATACTGTCCACTGTCCCACATTCTGTTCTCCTAGGCTGCTTTATGCTACTTTGCCTCCCATCTATCTCTGAGGCAGCGGGCCAGTGAATATATGGCAGGTTCTCAAAATTCTGCGCTCTTTACAGGTCCCTCTATAATGTAGGGTACCCAAAAAAGGGGATCATGGTTTTAACGCTCCCATATGACAACCAAGTGTCCCCTGAAAACATGTGCTCCATGTCTTTAGTTGTCAGCCTAACAGCCAATTCAAACGCCAGAGGCAAAGGGGAACGTACAGAAAAAATGAGGACATCCTAGTCTTTTGGTTCGAAGAAGAGGTCCAGAATTCTAAAACACTTGCGCAAGCAATGCCTTTTTTTCCTGCAGTAAGCACTTCTGAATGTGAATCCATTATTTAATCCGTGTAGACCTTTGGAAGGTCTCAAGCAGTGGTTCAGCATTCACCCTAAACCCTAAAGCCCAAGCCCTAAAGCGCGCCTAAGGTGAGCTGCAAGAGTGCCTCCAGCCAGTATCGCAGGAGGCGATGGCTTGCTTGGGTTAAGGGTTTTGGGCTTCTAGAACAGGGCTCTATATGGAAGGGTTCAGGGTTTAGGCGAAACTTTGCAGGACTCTATATGGGGGCCTTCCCAAAATTAGGGTACCTCCTGGGCGGCCCCAATACTGGAATAAAGATTACAATACTTTGGGTCCCCCTGTTTATGGGAACTACCACATGGAGGCCATTTAGCGATTTCAGGTCTTACTGTAGCAGGTATCGACTACTTTTTGCCGTGTTTCTATCTCAGCTTTAGCGATATCTCGGGAGAGACGTAGCTATGTAATGATACCCTGGTGGGAGGTGGATTATAATGACCCCACGCCTCCCAAACATCGACATTGGCCGCTGGGTCAACAGCTAGGAGTCGAGGTTGGGCTCTATTGTGATTCGGCGCGGTGCGTACCTTTCACCTAGTGCGTAGACCCTAAAACACCTAAACCCTAAACCGCCCCAAGCTGCCTCATCCAAAGCTTGAACCCTAGACAGTACTCCGGGCCCTGGGTTGCTTTTAAGAAGTTCAAAGGAAGTTACCGCAACAAGGAAACCCCATCATGTACCCTAAATCCTCACTATGGTACATTCAGTCCCTTAACAGAGCAGAGCCGGCAAATCTCCAATTGCAATAGGCACTGTGGAATATTCGTGGAAGATCCAGCTTGCTGGTGGCTAGTAGGGATCGAGGGAACATGCCATCTAGGGATCATACAGGGATTCGATTTCCGTAAACCCTACTCGCCATGAATGAGTCACGAGTGTAGAAGTTTCTCCCAGGCCTGACCATAAACAACATTGCATGGGAAAAGAAACCCTAAACCCTAAGCCCTAAGCCCCAAACCCTAAGCCCTAAGCCCTAAACCCTAAGCCCTAAACCCTGAAATCCTAAGCCCTGGTGATGCTACGCCGCTGTCGGAGGATTACTTCAAGCCCATCACAGAACTCGTCTACGAGCATCCGGGCGAAGACGCCTGGTGCGTCTTGGGGAAGGCCCGGGTTGTAGGGTTTTAGGGTTTAG